TAGGCCTCGTGGTCGCTGCCATCCTCCTGCCTGGTTTATGGTGTTGTTCTGGCACATGGGTGGTTGTCAAAACTATGGTCCCTTTTTGGGTCCTTATTATAATACGGCACGTATTATTTAGGGTACCCCAAAAGGGACCATAATTTTGACAACTACCCACATGTTTACCGTTCAGGGTTTTCGGTTGGGTTGGGGGTTCAGTAATTTAGGGTTTAGAATTTAAGAGATGTAGCATGCTCGGCCGCTGGAAAGACGCGGGCATTGAATAAAGGGAAAGCGCTGATGGGCTAGGGATCATGTCTTTGCTCTTTGCAGAGACTTGCTACCCCAACTCCAGGCCTACATGGCACCTGACTTCTAAATCCTGCGTCCTACAACTCATGTTATCAACCCTGACCCCCTAAACCCTGAACCCCTAAACCCCTAAACCCCTATGAACCCCTAAACCCTAAACCCCTAAACCCAAAACCCTAAACCCTAACTCCCAGACTGAAGGGGGCTGAGGGTGGAGGTCTCAGGGTGAAGCGTTTTCCGGATGCAGGTGTTTAGGCGTTACCCGTAGGCCGTAGGCCCCATCGTAGTTCCTGTTTGTGGCTTATATTTTAGGGTTTAGGGTTTAGGGTACCCAGAGACTCCAATATTCCTTAATTAAGGAATATACCTTAAATCATAACAAGGATCCTCCTATAATTTAAGGAATATTCCTTAATTAAGGAATATTGGAGTCTCTGGGTAATCCGAAAAAGGAACTACTATGGGGCCTATGGGTAGAGTGCGGGTTGCTTGCTCACATCTCCGAGGTTTCTCCGTACGTGTGTTTTAGGGTTTAGGGTTTAGGGTGCTCCTAGGAACCTCGCGACTTGTTAAAATAATGGGTTAAAGGTATTCTGCGGCTACAGATACTGACATACTTGTGTCTAGAGTTGCTTCACTTCTAGCCATGCTCAAATCTACGCATGTACCTTTAAGCCCAGGCTTTTCATGCGTTTTGTATGTAGTTCGAGTTGCCGAAACTGCCATGGCTTTGCAATTGAACTGGTTTCCTTGAACCTAAACTGGAAACCCTGCCCTGCTCATGAAGTACTTTCGCAGAATGGCGAAAGCAGGAATCATACTAGGGCTTTGATGAGCGCATGGCTTTAATATTGTTTCCTACATGGATGCTTTGTGATATAGGTTGGGGCTAGGGCTTCGGATTAGGGCTTCGTTTTGGCCACAGGACCCCCAAATATTCAATTCGTTTGGAGGCGCCTTGCAAAACCTGGGTAGAGAAGTGGCAAGACCCGAATCCACAAAACGTGTGCGAGGCGAGCCCAAGATTGAGCATTTCGCCTAAAACGGGTTTTTTTCAGAGCATGGACAAAAACCCCACCTACTCTCAAACCGAAACCCATGAAGGCTACATGGCGAAGCATCCCAGACAAGCCAACCCCACCCCCTCAATCCACAATATACCTCGAACATCCTTGAATACGATTCAGCAGTTTCTCAAGCATGGGCTTTTGGGATTTTCAAGATGGAAGCCAACCTTGGAGGCATAGAGTGCACGAACTCGACCTACCTCACCAGCGACAAGTACTGCGTGGAGGAGTGTACGAAAGGCCCCTGGGCTACCGTCGAGCATCACAAGCTCTTCAGTGCTTTATAACGGGGCTTGGCAAGGGCCTTACAAAGGTTGACTTGCGGTTTGACTCAGGTGGCTTTATGGCTTGTAAAGGACCAGTAAAAGGGACCACTGCGAGAACCTTTGTGGTCCTCGATAGCAGACATTGGTATTCAGGGTATAATACTCGGTAATCGGCCGTTCTACACTAGGAACCTCATTCCGACAACCCTAAATCCTAAACCCTACCCGTAGGCCCCATAGTAGTTCTTCTTTGTGTCTTATACTTAGGATCCTATTAGGTAATCCCAAAAAGGAACTACTATGGGGCCTATGGGTTAACCTTAAATTTACCCTAAACCCTAAACCCTAAACCCTAAACCCTAAACCCTAAACCCCTAAACCCCTAAACCCCTAAACCCTAAACCCTAAACCCTAAACCCTTAACCTCGGC